GGCAGGGCAGGGCCCTGGCCCGGGCAGGGCCGCGCTCCTCCGGGACGCTCTGCCCTGGCTTAGTTTGGTTTGGTTTCTAGTGAGCAGTCAGTGTTAAATACTGTGGGGATGGGTCTGTCTTGCTAGTAGGGAGTGAAGCGGCTGTACCCTCCTCGGTATAGACTAGCCTGCAACATCAAAGATGAAAAAAAGCCAATCAGTATTGGAGACAGGCAATGCCCATTTTCTTCCCTTTTTTTCCACGACATCCAAGGGTGGGGGTGAGTATCCGCGGGGCAGGGGCCAGGGCCGGGGCCGGGGGCAGCCGCGTGTCCCCAGGGGCTTCTGCGCCGTGCATGCAGGCGGCGCCGGGGCAGGGAGGCTCCAAGCCCCAGAGCCTGCTGCGTCCTGCCCGGGGCTTGCTCGGCCCCTGCTCCAGATGCCACGGGGCTTCCCTCCCCTCCAGGAGTGCAGAGACGGGGGCACCACGGCAGATCTCCTCGCGGCCCCGCTAGCAGCCCCCCGGCTCCCCGCTCTGGCCCAGGCCTGTCTGCACAGACGGCCGTAGGCACCTGACTCCGCTGCCCGGCTCCTAGCCTGCAGCAAAGAGGAGGGCACGGGGGAGGCGCGGGCAGAGACCGTCGCTGCCCTCATTAATGGGAGCTTTTAGCTAGCGGCTGCATGGGGCAGGGAGCTGGGGCGGGCGCCAGCAGGGCCCCCCGCACGTGGCTGCCCACCCCTTGGCCGGGCTGGGGGGTGTTAAAAAAAGGAAGAAAAAGACTGGTTGGCTTGAGGCCCCCGCAGACGGGATTTTTCATCTTTGATGCTGGTTGCAAAGCTAGCTAAAAACGACCATTAACACGCATCGCGGGGGTGCGCTGCAGGCACGGCATGGCACGGGCATGCACGCGCAGGCGCATGCATGCGGTTGGCGCTGGACATGCTGCTCTCTGCATGCCAGAGGCATGTGTGTTGGGGGGCTCTAGGGCCACAAGCTGCTCAGGCACCAGGCTCTGTGCTCAGCTGGGGAAGGGCGGGGGGGTGCCTCTGCCTGGGGCAGCAGGGTTTGGGCAGGGGCAGAGTGGTAGGGCAGCCTCCCTCGGGCTGGGGGTCCCTGGGTCTGGGATGAGGGGTCTCCCTTGGGCATGCACGGGGCCAGGCAGGGTCAGGTCTCCCAGGCCCCTGCCCTCTCTGTGGCCATTAAGCAGAGACCCAGCCCCGCCGGGGGCCGTGTGCCCGACCCCCCGCACGGCCCAGCATCTCAGGGACTGCAGGAAGGAGGGCAGCCGGTGGCGGCTCTTACCATGGTGCCGATGCTGTACGTGGCGGCAGGGCCGATGGTGTGGTGGTACGGGTCCGCGGCCGCGTACACTCTGCCGTAGCTGGGAACAAAGCCGGCAGGGAGGTTAGACGCTGGGGGGCCAAAGGCTGCAGGGGAAGCCACCCCACCTGCCTCCCTCAGCCCCCTGGGGACGGGGGGCCTATGCCTTCTCCCTGGCCAGGCTGTGTGGCAGGGACCCACTGAGAGCGGCACCGATGTGACGAGTGCCAAGTTCTCGGGGGCCTCGTTGTGCCAAGCGGGGGCTCTCTCTCGAGGCCTGGGGTCCCTTGGGCAAGGAGGGCTGGAGAGGGGCTCAGGAGAAACCCAGGCTGGGAAGCAGCGTCCTGGGCACGGCGGGCAGGGCGCTCACCTGTCGCTGTACGCTGCTGCCGCCGCAGCGGGCTGGGCATACCTGTATGCCGCGTATCCTCCCTGCGCAGCAAGAGGAGACAACACCGTTAGGGAGGGCGGGCTGGGGGCTCCAGCCCGGGCACATCCCACCCCCCTGGGGAAGGAGGACGGCATCCCCTTTCCTCCCTTGCCCTCATGCCCACTTTCCAGCTGCACTTTCCGTGTCAGCAGACCTCTCTGAGCTGTTGTCCCGGGTCAATGCTGGCATGGTTTCGCCGTGGCCACCCCCCCCAGATCGAACCCTGCTCCATCTCGGCTGTCCCTGCCAGTGCAACCCCAGCATGGGCAACGGGGCCGCAGCTCTCCACTGCCTGCAGCTAATGGGCCTTTCCCTTCATCCTTCACCTGCTTTGCTGGCTGCATTAACTGGAGGGACACGGACACGCCCCGGGCGGCCACGGCAGCACTTACGTAGATCTCCGCTCCGTAGAATCCGTCCTGATACACGACCCTGCAAAGCAGCCAGAAGCAAAGCCCGTGAGCCCCAGGGCGAGCGCGGAGCCGGCAGGGATGGGCAGGGTCACTGCTACGGGGCTGCTGCTTGCAGGGGCAGCTCTCGGGTGGGGGCGTGTGAAGGGTCCAGGGCAGGGCCGAAGCCTTGACCGCAGGACAGGCTCTGGAAGAAGGGCCCCGGGAAGCAGGATGGGCAGAGTGGGCTGAGCACAGTGGGGGCAGGCGCCGTGGCCCAGCCAACTGTGGAGAGTGGCACAAGTGCCCGGGCTGGGGGCAACACAGACCCTGAAGCCACAGCTGCCCTGCCAAGGAAGCCCAGAGCCCGCAGAGGATGGGGGATGCATAACGCTGCTGCAGCCAGACATGGCAGTTCCCGGGAGGCTGCACGGAGCATGCGGCCCGTCCACGCTAGCAACCGTGCCCAGAGGGCTGCCGACCCGTGCATATGGTCCCACGTCAGGGCTGTGGGATGGCTGGCCCCGGCCCCAGCCCCAGCCCTGAGTTCTCCGCTCTTGCGGCAAGCGGCACGCTCCCCCAAGATGGGCATTGCATGCAGCTGCCCCCGCTCCTGGCAGTACTCACGCTCCGTACGTGGGGATGGGCGGAGGCGGGGGCGCGGCGCGGAAGGTGTTGTAGACAGCGCGCCCCCGGCCCCGCAAGTGTGCCCCTCGGTACGCCACGGCTGTCCCTGTGGCGGGGTACGGGAACCCTGTGACTGGAGGGGAGAGAGAGAGCTGTGAGCCTGCTACGCCGAGGTGCCCACACTGGCACCGCTGCCCCCACGAGCTGGGGACGCCTGGGCCACAATGGGATACTAGGGCAGGCCCCACGACTGCACATGCCCACAGGGGCATCGGTGAAGGGAGCATCCCTGGCACCTGTCTGGGGCAAGTGCCTCCCACTGTGGGCACATGCTCTCTGGCAGCCACGGGAGCACTGGCTTTGCTGCCGTGCAGCGCATGTGCCCTGGACACCTGGGCGCTGCCGGGAGGCTGCAGCCATGCCCCCGTGCAGGGGTCTGAGGTCCGGCTCCCTGCTCCCGTGAGGGTGGGCCTGCTCCGAGCTGCCCGTCGGCTCCGGCCACCACAGACGTTACCTGCATAGAATTCGGGCCCGTAGACAGCTCCCACCACCGGGTTCAGCTTCCAGCCTGCGGGACAGAGCAGCGTGAGGGCCGTCCCGGGAGGCCTGGGCAGGCTGACCATCACCGCCCACCACCCCTGCCAGCCCCCGTCCACCCCTCCGCGGGCGCTCACCGTTTGTGTAGGGGTTTGCAGCCTTCTTGTTCGTCATGACGCGGGCGGTGGCGTTGTTCACCTGCAGAAAGAGGGTGCGGGTGGGATCAGTCTGTGCCCGGCTGGGCCGGGGATGCCACATCCCAGGGATCTAATCAGCACCACGTCTCTGCCACGGTGCCCGGGATGGAGGAGCATCAGCGCAGGCAGGGCATGGGGTCCCTTTGCACGGCGCTGTGCCTGGCTCGCATGTCAGCAACGTGCACCCTGCGCTTCCTACAAACAGCCCCGGTCGTGCCCGCAGCCTGAGGCCGCGCAATGCACTGCGAAGCCCTCCCTGCTTGGCGGCCCGGGGCTCGGTGCTGCCGCGCGGCTCCAGCACTCTGCTCGGCATGGTGAAGTTTGCCCGCAGCCCTGCCCACAGCTGCCCTGCCCTGCCCATGGGTCGAGCTCCTTCATGCTCTCCATGGCAGGACGTGGCAGGACAAGGCCAGCTCTGGAGCAGAGGGGAGAGAGTTGTGCCCATGGAGCATAAGAGCTGGGCAGGATGGATGCTGGTAGCACCATGCAAGTTCCCTGGAGCGCCCAGCACCAGCTCAACCACCAGAGAAGTACGTGCACGAGGAGGGAGCTCCACTCCATTTGCTGCTGAACTCAGCAGCCAGGACCAGAGTAGCCCTAACCCTAACCCTGACCTTGCCTAGTGCTGCCTGGGGGCCAGAGGAAGGCGTCTCCCATCTCTCAGCCCTCGCAGCAGTGGTTTCATCCAGCGACTTCTCAGAGTGAGCAAAGAAACTCCCTTGCAGATCCCCCTGCGCCCGCTGCAATGCCGTGAGCCCTGGTGACATGCACGACCCCCGGCCCCACCAGAGCTGGACGTGTCCCACCACAAGCACCACAAGACAGGAGCATGCAATGGGCCCCGGCTCGCACAGGCACGCTTGCACGGCTGGCCCGGGGCCAAGAGGGCAACGAGGGGGGAGGAGGTGCATGGCACCCACGACCCCTATGCCTACACCCCTTGGGACGAGGCGGCCCAGCCTGCTGCGGTGCCCCCGCGGCTCCGAGGCGCGGGGCGGGGCGGGCCATGCCGGAGCAGAGCCCCGACCCCGGGAGGAGGCGTGCAGGGGCTGGACCAGGCGCGACGCAGCAGGCAGCAGCACGGTCACACTTATCTGAGCACCTCAATTTTCCGTCCCTCTACGATTGTGCCATTCAGCTTCTCCCGTGCCCGGTCGGCATCTGTGCTAGTTTCAAAAGTTACAAACCCAAAACCCTGTGAGCAGAGGAGAAAGGGGGAGAGACAGAGATGGGGGGGAGGGCAGAGAGAGACAGAGAGGGGGGCAATGCGGGGCAGAAAGAGAGGGTGGTCAGGAGGGTGGGCTCTGGCCGCGGCTGCTGCTGTGCACAGGGCCCGGGTCAGTCCAGGGCCGGCGGAGCACGGGGAGCCCAGCTCCAGCCCTGGTGTCGCCCCGCGCCGGGGCGGAGAGACAGAAGGGCACAGCGGGAACGTCCACATGCACGGGGCGGCCGGCGCTGCACGGGGCAGGGGACGGCCCAGGCACTGCCCAGCTGGACAGAAGAACGGGCCACCGAGTCCTCGCCCAGGACACTGGGGGCAAAGCTGAGCCCCTGGGCCGCGGGTCCAGCTGGGACGTCTGGGTGTCGTCCCAGCCAAGAAGGTGCAAGAGGTAAGGGCAGGAGGGTGGGGGCCAGGCACAGCCTGGGCTCGGAGGGAGAGCGGAGAGGGAGAAGCAGCAGCATGAGAGCCGAGAGCCGGGGCAGGACAGGAGCGAGGCAGAAGAGCAGGAAGACAGGCCCCGTCCCCAGGCATCCTCCTCTGGGAGGAACGGCCGCTCGGCCGGGCTGCTCCGGGCTGGCGCGGGCGGCACCCACCTTGGAGCCCCGCTCGTTGAAGATGATCTCCACGTCCAGGATCTTCCCAAATTGCTGCAAGGACAGAGCGGAGCGTCAGGGCGGCCCCGGAGCTGGCACACGGGGCCGCCCTCCCCATCCCCGCGGAGCTCGGTGCAGGGTGGCAGGGTTCCCGGGGCCGTGGGCACGGGGTTGGCGTACGCACCCCGAACATTTGCCGCAGGTCGGGGTCCCGGAACCGGAAGGGGATGTTGGAGACGTGTAACCGCTTGGGCTGCTGCTTGTCTGTGTGGTCTGAGGAGTGGAGCTGCTGGCTGTCTGTCTGCGCCGCTTCGTCTGTCTGCTGCAAAACACGAGCCCCCCGGCCAGTCAGGCGCCACAGGGACCTGCTGGAGAGGGCGACGCACGCGCTGCGGCCACACACGGCACCGCCGGCCCGCGCCTTGGCATGCCTGGCACCACCCTAGCCTCTCTCAGCGGCCCCTGGCAGGACCGGGGGGGGCAGCAGGTGGGCAACAAGGTGGGCAGAGACCCCCGCACCGCTCAGACGGCTTGTTTCCAGCAGTCTCACCCAACAGAGCTGAGGGCACATGCGGAGCCTGTGCATGTGTGCACGCATGGGCACACAATTGTGTGTGCATACACCCATGTGCATTCATGCGTGTAGGTGTCCAAATCTGTGCATGTGTGTGTCTATGTATGTGTGTGCAATTCTCTGTGTGCATGTGTGTGCACACAATTCTGTGTATGTATATGTAAATATGTTTGCAGGTGTGCACACACAATCTTGTGTGTGTATGTATATGTGCATGTGCATGCAATTACATGCATGTATATGTGCATGTATGCATCTGTAATTGTGTGTGTGTGCATGTTCACAATTCTGTGCATGTGTGTATATGCAGATATGTTCACAGGTGTGCATGTGCAATCCATGCACATATATGTACATACACGCACGCATGGGCGGGCAGTTGTGTGTGCATGCACCCGTGTGCATGCATGCACAGAGGTGTCAAAATCCATGCACATGTATGTGTGTGCAATTCTCTGTATGCATGTGTGTGCACACAATTCTATGTGTGCATATGCAGCTATGTTCACAGGTGCACACACGCAATCTCAAGTATGTGCGTACGCATGCAATTCTGTGCATGTATATGTGCATGTGCAATTGTGTGTGTGCATGTATGCGTGCACAATTCGGTGTGTGTATATGTTCACAGGTGCATGTGTGCAATCCATGCAGGCATATGTACATGTGTGCACACATGCAATTTCATGCATGTGTATATGCATGTGTGCACGCACTATTGTGTGCAATTTGTGTACATCCAGGCATGTGCAGGAACGTGTGTGAATGAATGTGCATGCCATTCCCTGCATATCGTGTATGTGTGATTCCACGCATGTACATGCACACACATGTACATGTGCCTGTGCGTGCAATTGCATGCATGAGCCCAGGAGAGGGTCTGGCTGCTCCCCTCTCTCCCCGCCAGGATGGAAGTGCTCTGCTCAGCACTTTCCTGGCGGAGCTGCATTACAACCACACAGCCGGAGCCATCTGATTGGGAAGCAGCCAAGCAGGTAGATTACAAGTGATTTGAGATGATAGGGGAGCAGAGCAGGGCCCTGTGTGCCGCAGCTGCCGAGCACAGGAGCCACGGGGGCACCAGCACCGCATGCGTGGCCACAGCGCTTCCCTGCCAGCCAAGGGGGTCTGGTGCCACCGGCTGGAGCCCCCGCGCTGGATGCCCCCAGTCCCCATGCAGCCCCTCCTCTTCCCAGGCAGCAGGTTCCCCCTCCCACGCCTCTCCCCACCCCAGCCGTGGATGCCATGGGGTGTCACCATGCCAGCCCGGCCTGCCTGTGCCCCTGCCCGGCGCCCCACAGGGCTCTTACCGGCACCGTCTGCGTGCCTGCTATGGACTGCGTGCTGGCGTCGGTGCCCGGCGGCTCGGCGTGAGTCTGTGCTGGCGTGTAGAGGGTCATGGCGTGCTCTGGTACCGTGCTCTGCCCCGAGTACTCCTGCGTGGGGTGGGGGTGTGGGGGCGCGTACTCTGCGGGGATGCCGTTCTGGGGAGGCGGGGGATACTGGGCCGGGGGGTAGGGCTGAGCCATCGCTTCAGGAGGAGCCGTGGCGTCCTGATTGCCCTGTGGGGAGACAAGGGGAGGCAGTTGCCACGGCCCACGAAGGGCTCAGAGCCGCGCCACGGCCGCCCGCAGCCCCACAAAGCGGTGCAGCCACCTCCCCAGATGCAGCCAAAGCCCTGCCCCAGGTCCCTGGAGCCCCCTGTGCTGCAGGGGTCAATGCTGGGCTTGGCCACGGGCGACGTGCGGGTCACTACCCCGTGGGCAGGTCTGCAAGCAGGGGAGAGCTGCACCTCCCCTCCCTGCCCACGCACAGGGAGAGAAACTAGGGCAGGGCGCAGCTCGCAGCAGCAGGGAGCAAGGCGGGCGCTCCAGGGGACCGCAGGCATTGCCGCCCGCGACCGCCAACGCGGTGAGTCAGGCCGGGAGAGATGTCAAACGGCCTCTTGGCACTCAGGAGACAGAGATCAATTAACTGCTAAATATTTGATTAGCCCCTTTGCTCCCAGGCACAATTTAATCCCTGCCCCTGTCCCTTCGGAGCCAGGGCAGGTCACTCTGAGGCTGCCCAGCTGGCACTGCACCCCGCGGCCGGCCCGGTGTGCCATGCCAGGGGCTTGGCCCGGGCCCTGCCAGCTACAGATGCCACGGGCTGGATGAGCAAGCGTGGCCGCCACCGAGGGCATGTAGATGCGTGTGCCCTGCGCGGGGGGCTGCTCTATGGCCCCCGAGGAGCAGGCAGAGAAAGGGCAGAACAGGGCCTGGCTGCGGGGTCCGGGACCAGGAGCGGCTGGTTACTGACCCCCCTCCGCACGGGGCTCGGCAGCCCAAGCCCTGGCCAAGAGAAGCAGGACGGACGTGGATGGGAGGCCTCCGGGCTCCCAACCAATATCCCAACTGGATCCTTGGGACCGTGACCCCATCCCACCCAGGAGCTGAGGCCCATCCTCTGGCCCCCTCCCCACCGCCACGCGCACACCCCTACACCTGCCCCTTTGCTGCGCACTTGCGGCCCTGATCCCGCACGCTCACGGCGCAGCGCCTGTGACACCCACTGCCAGGGAGACGCCTGCACAGCCCTGGCTCCCCTCCCTGCCGCATCCTCCACCCCGGAGCATCTTCCCCAACAAAACACACCCCTGGCTCTGGCCGCGGACACAAGCTCCTCGATGGCGCGCACCCGACTGACGATGCATGAGGATGCTGAGGAGGGGCCAGCTGCAGGGATGCAAACCGGGGGCTCTTATGGACCGGCCACGGGGTCCGCCCAGGAGGAAGCGAGCCCTGTAGCCCAGAGCCCTGTGGGGAACGACATGCAAATCCAGCACAAATTAAGATCTGCAAGTCACTGGAAGGCTCCTGGCTTTTTCCTGTGCTGACTCAGCTGCTCCAGCCTTGCCGCGATGCATCAGCCAGGAGCGTTTGCCAGGGAGCACGGAGCCGCCGCTTCCAGGCCCCAGACCTGCCACGACAGAGCTCTTCATCCTGCTCGTGCGGAGCTGCGCCCGGAGGCCAGATAACCCGCTGGCCTCGTGCCCTTGGCACTGCCCCACGAAGCGCGGGGTGCTTTGCGCGCCGGGGAGGATGCCCCTTGTGCCCTCGTTCACCTGGGGCAGGGCAGGGCAGGGCGAGCTGGGTGCACGCAGAGCCGGCCACGCACCTGGGCACGTCCTCGGTGCCGCTGGCGCCTGGCCCTGACAGCCGCGCCGGTGCCAGTTATTAACGAGGGCTGTCGCAGCCCTGTCAGCTCAGGTATTATTTCATTCAGGGACCATTAGGTTCCCCTGCTTTGCTGCCTGCCGTCTCCTGCGCTGCCGCGGCGGGTGCCGCAGCGGCACAGATCTATGGCTCCTGCCTGCCAGGCACTGCCCATCCATCCCCAGGCGCTGACAGGGAGCAGGGTAGGACCCGCTCACCTGGAGCAGGCAGGGGGCTGCTGGCCCCGGGGCCCGGGGCAGCCGGCAGGATGCAGGGGGCGGAGAAGGGGCTCGTGTGAGTGATGCCCGTTGACGTCACCGGGGATCTGGCTGCGCTCACGGCTTCCTCCCACGCTG